TCTTGTATTTTTGTGAAATCCCGCAATAGCAATTTCCAATTTATTGCCTATTGTTCGAGTCACAGATAGGTAACTTTCCTAAAACATTGCTATTGGTTAGTTGGGCAAAAATACAATACACATGTGACGGTGAAGGACCAGATTTATGAATAAACATTGACTAACATAGATAATGAGTTATATTGTTATTATAAATGTGTTTCACAGCCATCTTCCCTTCGATAGGCCATGGTCTAACTAATCAGGACATCCAGTGACATGGAAAGGTCAGTTTTCAACACTTACCGAAGCAGCCTGTTGAACCTTGAGGTTTAACCCATCACCGTGGACTGAATCCAACTCACCTTGGAAGTCTGACAAATTTTGGAAGCATTGTTTTTAGAAATATGGCATCAGAATGTGTAAGGTTTGCAAGTGTCATGGACAAAAATATCCTGTCCTCTAATTATTAACCCATTAAGTTGCATTGTGTTGTATTGTGCCCTATTTAATTATTATACCCTGTCTGACGCCAGATGATTTTACTTGTGTCAAGGGGAGAATGCTGTCACTCAGTGGGTAGTACGATATTGTGAATCATCTGGCGTAAGACAAAGTAAAATAACAACTTAGGGTGCAATGTAACTCAATGGGTTGATGTCGGTCAAAACATGATTAATTTAAATGAAGAACAGAAATCTGACAGACTGAATTGCAACATCTAATTGATACTTACTGACAGTTTTTTTAACAGCCTCTGCATTGTGTCTCAATTGAGCTCGAAATTCTGAATGACCATTTATGACCAAGTACTTCATCAGATGAAGAACCTGGTGAGGAAATTGCAAATAAGCCATTGGATCGACGAGTGAAGTTGTCTGGCATAACACAGAAGAATGTAATAAAGTAGGGCACATTAGGCCAGAGCATTGCACAATGAGCCTGAATGTATACTGCTTTGTTATTCTATTCTGTCTAGCACAAATCTTACTCTTCAAAGGGAAAAGTGTTGAATGTTTATGGGTCGACGTACAGGATTTTCTAATGACAAGTAATTAATATAGACAGATAAAATGGATAAGAAGGAACATAAGGAGATATACTGCAGTAGAGGGGGTGTACACTTTCTTCAGGGGTATACATCTTTCAAAATTCCTGCCCCAGAAAGTCTGACATTCAAGTTTATACGAAGTAAGATCCATCACTTACCTTGAATTTTATACGAGGGTCTTTTTTTTCCAAACGACCGAGCAAGAAGGTGAGCAGTGATTGGCAATTTGGTAACGAAGATTTGGAAATTGCTAATTAAACATATTAATGTAATATTAATTGCAAAATATGACTTTTATGACATGTTTCCAACAATTAAATAAAAAATGCTTACGTACTGCTTATTTCTTGAAGATTGTATCCTTGTGTTGGTTTCTCGTCGTTTGAGGTTGCTTTCATTAAAAGAGGCACCTTATATGAGAGTATAATGGAATTAGTGTCATTAATGCCTATTAAATTAAACACTTTCTCAGTGACAACAGAAGTTCGACTTCTTGTCAGTGCATAACCACCGGCATATCATGATTTGCAATCACAATGTTGTCTCAATGTTTCTGGCCAGTGTGCTAAGGAAAGGCTGTTGGAAATCTATCCTATGTGATACTAGTATATGTTGCCCATACTTTCACTTTAAAAATTCATCAAATTCATAGATATTTAGAATAAAATAATATACTCTATCACAATCTGTGCCATCTATCTACATTGTAAATAGCTTTAATTAATATGAAACTAATGTCTATTTCGTTTTTATCATATAGTTTTTATGTATTTAATAAAACCAAACAACACTCAACACTCAATGACTCAACACTGTATAAATTTTTGTACATAGTTGTAGTATTGGAATAAAATATTATTACAGTTGACTGATTAACGGTACATATACATATAGATACTACGTACCAAAACTTTCAACCTGTTTTAAACAAGTTTTAACAATGAAAAACGCAAACCTTTGCAGTGAATTTTAAGTTGGAAGTGATCGATCCAGCAAAAAATGCAGCCATGTTTTTCTCGACTTAGTCTCTGCTTCGTCCCTCTTTCTATACAAGATCGTAAATACAACATCCCCCTGGAAATTAGGCTGACCAATGTTTTTGCGCATGGTAGGGCAAAATGTTCCGGGGGGAAGATTTGCAAAAAAATTGTATCAAAAAATTTAAAATGGCGTCAATTTTTTTAAAATTTTCCAACTATAAGACCAAATTTATGCGACCTCGCTTGTAGATATGAGAAGAAAATACGCTCATATAAATCTACCAATCTATAAAAAGCTGTTGTGGTTATGTTTAAAAAGTATTTCTACGTCCAATTGGTATTTTTCTACAAGTTTATGGCGACAATGAGTGGGGCTAGTCACTTATCGAAAAATGTCTGTTGGAAAAAAAGCACGCACGTTAAAGTCCTTGCATTAGATTTTGACAAAACATGTACAACCAAAGCTATACTAGACATTTACAGGGCAAGGGAAGACTATCACCAAAACAACAAAGATATACTTGACCAAAAATGGGAGAAAGTACAGCAATTTTACAGGTCAACAATGGAGCCCATTTTAAAACCTTTGAAAGACCCGAAACCAATAGCAGCTCGATTTGACGAGGACGGTTTGCGGCGCTTCTTGGCAAGAGTTAGCGTTGGAGATGGCCAAGCAATAGATGAACTTATTTCAACTAAACTACTCGAAGGAATAACGACCAAAGGTCTGTTTGAGTTTGCTCAAAATGTTGAACTTATGCCAGATGTGTTAACTGTATTAGAAAATCTCAAAGACAAGGTTCTTAATCTTCCACTACATGTGATATCACTGAATTTTTCT